GTATGGGCTCTGGGGCTGGGGGTGCAGGCTCAAGGGTGGGACCAGAAATGAGGGGTTCAGGGGGCTGGAGGGAGCTCCGGGGCAGGACAGGGATTGTGGGCTCTGGGAGGGATTTTGGGTGCAGAAGGGGGTGCACAGCTGGAGCAAAGAGTTACGGGCCATGCTCTGGCATCAAAACCCACTGCCTCGGAGGCCAGTCCTGCACCCAGGGCCAGGAGAGGGGCCTGGCCCCACAGGCCATGCAGCGTTCTCCAAACTGCGCTCCCCGGAGCACCCTAAGCATCCCGAGCTGTTCCCCGTCAAGGGCGCCATGTTCCTCGCCCAGCCCAAAGGCCCCGGTTCGCCCCCGGCCAGACGCGCCGTCCGACAGCAGCGCGCCGGCCAGCACCACCCCAGCAGCCTGGGAGAAGGGCGAGCAAAGACGCAAGCTTCTTTCCTCCTCCTCAGACCTGCAGGGAACCCCCCTTCTCCCCTGCTCACATTTTGCTTCCTCCGCTCATTTCTCCAGCCCCGGCTCTGCAGCAGGACTCTGCACCACACACCTCCCGACGCGCCCGTCTCCAGTCAGTGGTGGCAAGCGGCCAATTTCTGTCACCTCCAGCAGCCGCCTCCCGGCGCACTGTATGTGGCTGGCCCCAGCAGAACAAGGGCTAACCGGTCGTAAGGCTGGGGGCTGAACTGGGAAACAGGAGACCCGGGTTCTCTTCCTAGCCGTGTCCTGGGCTCGCCGGGTGGCCTTGGGCAAGTCACGTCACTACTCCGTGACTCGGTTTCCCCACTTGCAGAATGGAGATAATAAAGTGCTTGGATAGCCCCTCAGGGAGAGGGCTAGCACAGTGCTGGGCGTTGGTACTCACTTCATCTTTGGGGCCTGCGAAAATATCCACGAACCAGATTTTGACCCTGACCCCACCCTGCTTTTTAGTGAGATGCTTGCCTTTTAACCAGCCCTGTTAACGAACGAAGTGGCACCAGCCAGGAGGAAATCTGTCCGAGGCTCGGGGGGAATTTGGTTAGAACCCTTTGAATTAGGCACTTAGATCACCTTGGAGGCAGCATGGCCTAGTGGATAGAGCACCGGGCTAGACTTCAGAAAACTGGTTCTCTCCCTGGCTTGGCTTGCTGGGTGACCCTGGACAAGTCACCGTCCTGTGTGGTGCCTCAGTTTCCCCATCTGTACAAAGGACATAATGGCTCTGGCCAAGCCCTGCAACACCAGACCCCTTCTGGCCGTGCTCAGTGCCCGCCAGCCCATAGGCTGTTTTACATCCATCTGGAACAATTGATTCAAACAGGGAAACCTGCCAAATGGCAAAACCTTCCCCAACGGGGAGGGCAAAGCTGGATATTACAGCAGCCAAGAGTTCAGGTTTGGGAGCTCAGCTGCCCGTCCTCCGCACCCCACCCGGCCCTGTCCTGAGAGCCCGGCTGGGTGATGGCCCACGCGCCCCACATGCACCAGCTACCAATGTATGGAGACCATGACTGTAGTATATGAGCACTCACAATCTCTACCGTATTTACCGTCACACGCCCTCTGCGGAAGGCAGGGCATTTATCCCCATTGTACAGATGGGAACTCAGGCCAGAGAGACTAAGGCAGTGGTCCTCAACGTGGTGCCCGTGGGCGCCATGGCACCTGCTGGGGCATTTCTCTTCCCCATTCTTGCACCTTGGGCGCGTGGTGCGTGCATGGCCCCCGGCGCATGTGCGGGCTGTGCCCCGAGCATGCGGCACATGTGCGGTCCCCGCCCCGGGGTGCCCAGCAGCCCCAAAAGGTTGGGGACCACTGGACTAAGGGATTCACCCAAGGGCACATAGGGAGTCTGTGGCAGAGGAGGGATTTCAACCCAGTTCTGCCACGTAGCGCCCTAATCACCGGGCCATCCTGCCTGGGGACAGGAAAGGCTGTGAGTAGGGAGAGCATGAATGTTTGCTCTCCAGACCTTAGCAGCTCCAATTCAGGGGGACATGACCCATCCTGGGTATCTGACCTTCCCACCCACGGAGTCTCCAAGCAGGCAGCTGGCCTTCAAGGCTGCCTCCTGGCCTCCCTTAAGACTTGCACTTCCAAAAGAGGCCTGGATGCCCATCCTCACCCCCGCCCCCAACGCTTGCTTTGCAGGGGTGTTGAGCTGCCATCGCTGCAACTGCAGCCAGAGGGGGCGGCAGGCGCTCAGCCCCTCAGAAGTACCAGGCCCAAGGCGCGGGAAGCCAGGCACCCAAAGCGAGAGGCCGCGTCTGGGAATGCTGCCCACGGGCCGTGCCCCGTTCCCAACGCACCACGGCAACGCTGCATCTCCGGGCTCCGTCCCGGCCCTTCGGTTTGCAGCAGCCCACCTTGGCTAGCTGGGATGCTCTCTGCAAAGCCGGGCGAGCAAGGATCCTGGAGAAACCCCCCCGTTCCCACGGCTCTGCCTCCGCCCGCGGCCTGGCTGGGCGCCGGAGCCACTCTCTTACCTGCGGAAGGGCCGAGCTGAGCTGCCTCTGCAGCTGGTCTCGTTCGTGCAGCGTCTCCTGTAGCCGGCCCTGGGTCAGGGCCAGCGTCTCCCGCGTCTCCCGCAGCGTCTCCAGCAGCTTGTCTCGCTCGTCCAGCATGTTCACCATGAGCTGCTCGAAGTTGGCCTCCGCATCGGGGCCCTGCTGGGACCCCAGGGGGTCGCCCTCAGTGATGGTGGGCATCACCTCGCACATCATGCCGGTGGCCTGGCCCAGCCACGTGCCGGGCTCCAGAGAGGCCAACGAGCCTCGCCGAGGGGTTTGCTCTGGCGGCCTCCCCGCGGGCTCTCTCGGGCTGTAGCTCCGTGGGCCGGCAGATCACATCCCTACAGCCGCCCACGGCCCATCGGGGCAAGCGCCAGAGACAGGCAGCGTGGGACAGGCTGCAGCTCCCCCATGCTGCTCTACGCTCCCAGGCGCTGGTTACGCCGAAGCTGGCCTGGCTGAGGTCTGCCTTCCCCGCTCCATGCGGGGACCCCCTGCCTCTGGCTGGCTGTGGTTCATGGCGTAGGGCCGTGGCTCCGTAGCCCACGGGTGAGCAGATCCCTTGCAAAGCAGCACCAGGGGGCCAGAGCGCAGCAAAGCCATGGGCTCAGAGAGGATCGCGCTGCCCTTCCAGCGCACGCCCCGTCAGGGACCGGATGCGGCCAGCCACGCACGGGGGCCCTGGGGACGGCTCCCCAGCCTGGACATTGTGAACGAGAATCAGTCCGTTGGAATAAAGGAGCCACCTTCCACGAGGCCGAGCGATGCACTTTGCAGTGAGCGAGTTACTGCCCTGGACCGGACAGGCCTCTGCCCCACGATCCAAGTCGGACCTAGGGGAAGGAGACAGAGACACAGTGAAACACGCCCCACCTGCTCCTGCCCCACCCCGGCCAGCCCCCAGCCAGCAGGGCAGCCAAATTCCATTCCCACATATTACTGGAGCACCTCAGTGCCCCAGCCCCAGATCAAAGCCCCAGCGCGCTCGGTGCTGTACATTTAGCTCCTCCACTTCCCTGGGCGGCTGCTAGTGAACCGCCCTCCCCACAGCTTCCCTCCCAGGCCCCTCACCTGCGTCCTTATCTACCGCGGGATCTCGGCATGTGCCTTGCGGGGCAGAGCAGGACCCAGGAACCTGCTGGCTCCAGGCTCTCCCGTGGCGGCCCCAGGCCGGATCAACCGCCCGCTGGGCCCCCCCACCACC